AGGAACCAGCCTTGAATTTTGCACAGAAATTGACCTGAAACATGAATCTGAAAGCCATCTCCCAGTGTCAAAACAGTGACAGCCCGCCCTCATATAGATTATGATGCAGTTTAGGGTTTAAAGTACATGAACTCATCTGGCAAACTAGAATCTCGGTTTCTCCATCCTTACCGTGGTGAGTTTCTCCAAGGCAACAAATCGGTCTTCTTGGGCCTGGAGAGCTTTCTCGAAGGCCTCGTGCTTCTTGATCAACTTCTCCACCTCGTCCAAAGAATTCTGCCATGGGAGGCAAACGTATAATGAACAGTCCATTAGGAAAACTCACTACAGAGAAAACTAGAAACTCCCTACAGTTTCTGTACGGTTCAATTTACCTGGTGAGAAGTCTTCATAAGGATGGTTAATATCTGACTTTGATCCCACTTTTACGACATCAATGAAATGCACATCTTAAGTTGTACCAACAATTTCTCTAAAACTTGCCCGAGGTCAATTGCCCTGCCCAACATAAAACAGAAAGGCTATCCTTGCAAAAACAAACTGCTTTAACAGCAACTCTGGAAGCAATTTGATTTGTTAAAAGGGCAGTACTTTTCAGTTACAGAAATCTGACCAGTGGGGAAGTTTCAAAATATACAAACAACTATGGATAAATACCAGGGCTTACCCCATAGTCTGTGTTCTTCAGATAAGCCTCCTGGCTAAACAGCCAGGCTTCCGCCACATGGGCATCCCGAGCAAACTGGTACACCTCCAGAACTGAAATGCAAAAACGCGAGTGTGTTGATGTCACACAACAATCACAAACTATCCACTTCTCCTGTTAATGCTAAAAGTTTGCCATCCCCTGATTTCAATATAGTTTTTCACGCATCCTGGGGTGGGTTAAAAATCCCCTGAAATAACTCTTTCTTCTTCACCAAAGAAACAATTTCATAAACAAGATCCAGCCCTTCTCAGGACAAACATTTTTCTAGAACTTTCTTGTGTCTCCATTCAGTCCAGTGCTTCCGAATACCTAAATGAGCTTTGAAGCTTTTCACGGTGTGAAGGTCCCAGGTTAAGGAAAAGGTCTGTGGTAGCACCATGCACGGATATCTCTTTTCTGAAGTTATGTGTGGTTCCAAAAAGAACCAGAGGGTACTCAACGTTCTAGACAATACGCTCTGTCCATCGTCAACAGACTGACTAAACAATAAATTACAAACTGAAGTAGAGTCAACATTCTGAGCAATGCTTGAGCACAAAGCATACCATCAAAGCGACAAAGAGCTGCTTCCACAACTTACTGAGTTGAAGGAATTCCCAGCGGTGTTCCCATTCGTTGATCATCTCCTGGCGTCTGGTGCCGACACCCACCAGCTTGCTGTGGATCTGAGACAGAAAAGAAACGAAAGAGTATCAATGGTTGAAGTTGCGGCAACCCATCCGTAATCGGCATAAAAACCTGGAGTCCTAAGGTTAAACATCTGCCGAGCGTAGCGCTGTGCGCCACGTGAAAGTCGAGGGTTTGACGCCTGATGCGGGCCTCAGCATCTGAAAAGTCGCACCTCTTTGCTTGCGTAGTGGTTCTTCTCCAGCATCTCCTTGCCCAGGTTGAAACACTCGGTGAAGCTGTCATCCCTGGTATCTATCTCGGCCTTCACGTTTTGGTGCTGATTCATCAGTAGCTCCACCCCTGAAACATCCCTGGATAACAAATGAAAGGAACACGCCAGTAGCGTGATATATTATCTTGCAGATGAAAGACATGACAATTTAATCCTTGTAAGCATCATATTCATTGTATCTTTGAAACAATCTACACACTTTGCAGAGGTTTGACTGTCTATCTATGGTTTCTTCTTCAGCATGAAACGCTGAATTATTATGGCTAATTCTGTGGAAAACAAAGGGTTTGGTGACCTGGATTCTCCTGTGTCATTGGCTTCCATAACTAGACCCTCTGGAGGGTAGGCCACAACAGTGCCACCTACAGTTTCACAGTATGCTTAGGGAACTACACGTGGACTGTATTCATGACACATCAAATTTCCATGGCCTTCCATGACCTCCTATTCTTTCTCCATGGTCAGTGAAAAAAGCCCCTTTGCAGAGACCAAAACGGTGGAGGCTCAGAAATAACAGGGCCAAACAGTGCACACGGGCTTCTGTTTTTTCAAGAAGGGATCAGATTCTGGTTAAACGATGTCAATTCGATCCCTTGCAAAAAAAAATCTCACTGCAGTCCCCCTAAGACAAGAAACTCCTCTGCTTAAGTATTCACGTTACCTGGCCTTCTCTTGGGAGGTGATCTGCTGGATCACGTCCTCCATCCACAGCATGAGGGCCCGCACCATGTTCAGGAAGCGGTACAGGTCGCTGGTGTGGTCTAGCTTGACGGCGCGGCCCTCGATGTCCCTGCGCAGGTTGTTCCAGGCGTCCACCACCTCCTGCTCCCTGTTGTTGATCTCCCGCTCCTTGTCTCCGGCGTAGGCCGCCCTCAACCGCTGAGCCTCATCCTGGACGCCCTCCACCTGCGGGAAAAATGCAACCAGATATCATCTCTCGCATGTTTTAAAAAAAATGTATTTTCCTTCTGAAGCACGGAAGATATCAGAAGGTATGCAGATGCTACCTTCGGGGAAAGTGAAATGCGAACACAGTGCTAGTTTTGAAGTTTTGGAGTCAGTTTTCAACCGGCAGCCACTTGTCAACCACTAATTCATTCTACCTATATGGGGTATATGTTATTTATAGGGTTCTGGTCCAAGGAGCCCGATTGCCGAATGATCGTTGATCAAACTTGGCCTTAGTGGTTACAGTATCCATGGGATTGTGATTGGCCGTAAATGGTCTCTTCCAGTCCAATCCCTTTTCAGTGTTTTGAATTGTGATTCTGGTGAGCTTCAGCCACAAAGCTGACTTTAGAGGTCCCTAACCGAGAGAAAAAACACACCCAGAAAGGTTCTGACCGAGAAAATCTCACTAACTTAGTTTACAATATGGAGACATTTCTGTTGGAAGAGGATTCCAAGACAGAAGTTTTTCCACTTAAGACTAAACTATCTATGCATTCACCAAGAATTACAAGTCAGTCAACTTTTTAATTTCCCCAGTGTGACTAACCTGTGTCTGGAGGGAGCTGAGGTCACTCTGGAAGGTGATGTGCTTCCGCTGTAAGACTGTCACAGACTGGGCGTCCTTGCCCAGATCAGTCGACATCTCCTGGTGCTTCTCCTGCACGACATTAAACAACAGACACGAGTGTCACAGCATGACGCAGATGGATGCCTTGATTTGGACAGAGCTCAATCAAATCAATCTGCTTCTTATTTATTTGTTTTAATTTTTATTTAAACCATCTTTATTGAGGGTAACCCATCCAGCAGGAGCTGACCACTTGGGGCCCTCATTGTCTGACAATGTCACGTCTGACAAGTGTTAATCTGTATCCAAGTGGACACAGTACCCTTCATGAATCAACGGACATTTCTTTAACATAACTGGCCAAACAACACGATAAGTAGTTCAAGGATAACTAATATACCGGTTTGGTCACATCCTGAGCGGACATACCTGGAGTCTGCCCAGTACTTCCTTGGCATCGTAGTAAAACTTGTGAAGCTCATATGATGCAGCCAACATCTGAAAGCCAACAAAAATAAATATTTAGAATAGAAAAGCAAAACAAGGAGTGCAATGCAACACATTCCAGTTCAAGGTTTTAAGCTTAGAGTTTAAACAGCCTTCCACAAGCAGAAATAATTGGCATATGACACTACAGGAAAACGCCAGCTACCATGTCCATCAACCATATTAAATCCAGGGGAAAATGTTCTCTTGAAAGAAAACAAAGGAGGCTTCAGTGTTTAGAAGACATGATATAAATGTTATGATCAAGCAGTAAGTAGGGGAAAGAAATCATAAGACTGCCAAGCAAGGAATAAAACCTTTATGCTGTGACAACACAACTGACAGAAACCCTGATTTCTTTTTATTTTCTTGGGGATAAATTTTAACTCGAATGAGTCCATCGTGCAATAGGGCCTACTCTCTGTCTAAAGTCTACTCTCGCAAGGGCAGCAGCTCACCATTGTTCTGGTCTCCATGAGTTCCAGGAGGTCAGCCCAGGACTCGTTGAGTTGGTCCTTCCATTCGGCAATGAT